AACACGGAGATGCCAGACGTACGTGCAGTATGATAGAACTGTATAGAAGAACGCCTGATCAACAAAAAAGAAAAGTACATAAGGGGAACACGACACATCCATTCTTCGATTTGAACACGCACATTCATTCTTCGATCGTCTGATATGAGGCATAAAATTTTTTTTAGACGCACGCCCATTCTTTCGCTTTGTCTGGTTTCTCCGAGTCAAAATAGATTCCTTTACCAGCACTAGCAGACCGCAAAGTTTGAACGAGTAAGCTATGCATATGTACGTGGATGAATCCAACCTGAGCATCCTTCCAGACGCTGTCTCGGAAGCCCTCGGAGCAGGGAGCAGGGAGCAGGGGTGCTTGACTTTCGGCTCTTTAGAAGTACATGGTTTGGGTTCTAAGTTTATGATCTGCCTGATTGCCTCGTCCTCGACGACCGCTGGCTGCGTGATCTTCTGTCTGGGGTCAAAGGCCGAGCTCCTGATAGAAACTGAAAGGCCCAGCCTCCAGGTCTAGAAGGTGGAGTCATCACTGTCCTCAGAAGAATGTAATTATGAAAATGATGCTAGCCGAAATTAGTCAACTACCTAAATTTATATTAACACGATTAATATTTACGCCTTTAAATAAATTTATTATAAAAATATATTGTATAACAAATCTAATAGTATTTATCTCCAGAATGTATGTATTTAATGATGGACCACTGATATTACTAATTATTCTGTTACTTAATATCGGTTTGGCATCGACTTCTGGATTATTAATTCCTGCATTTCGATCATCTCTCTGATATGATGGCTGATGGCAATTCCAGCAATGACGCTCGGCTCTGATCCGATTCGTTGGTTGACTGGACCCCAGCGCGTTCGTCAGGCTACAGCAGCAGCTCAATGCATTTTATTCAGATGGCCATGAAATGATTTATTAAGACGAGATAAATATACCATTTATCATAATTCTCATTTTTGCACGTCCTTATCAATGCTCCCATGCATTGCGGCATTGTTTAGTTGCAAGCGCAAGTTTGCACCTCCAAAAAGTAAAAGGGTGATTTTTCATCACATCACATCACATTAAATCTTTAGAGTATATGGTATGGAGGCATTAAATGTGAGGTAAAAAAAAATCACTATTATACAGCTTAGCTTTTAACTTATATAGACGTAATCTTAAGCTTCAATTCAGTCAATATTTGACAATAATTCAAAATATAAATTTAAAATGCTACATAAAACTCCTAGCTTCTAAAACTCCTAACTGTTCAGCAACTCAACAACCTGTTTCATTGTTCAGAATTTATCGAAAATTTCAAATGTAAATATGTTGTTTTCCTCATTACCAAATTTACAGTAAGAAGAATAATCAATAATACGACATCACGGGCCTTCCTTGGGAATAAGGGCTCATACACGCACGGTGGGTAGCTCTATAAGCTCCTTCCCAACGCGACACTTATCCATTTCCGTACCTGAAAGTCAGATATAGCAGATGCCTGGATCTGGATGCCCAGGCTCAAAAGCTGCCAGTGCCAGAGAAGGAAAGGAGCCACTAGTAGTAGCAGGCAGAAAACATGCAACTGGCTCTAATCAACGTCCTTGTCTGGCTAATCGAGGCTCAGAAAAAGAAAAGCCGGCTTATCCTGGCTTATAAATACGGAGTACCCGTAAGCTTAGGAACGTCTGTAAGTGACCTAAAAATAATTGCTTCAACACTAATTATCGAAGTGCTAAAAATATTGTCTTTGAGAGGATGTGAATAACGATTTTGAGTGGCAGCACCGGTCGGGTCAACCGCTGTCAACGGAACTTTAGTTCTTAGTTCGCTGGTCATAACTTTAACAGCCCGTCTGGTATTTACCGAACAGGTTGACCATGATCAATAGTATTGTTAGAGAACGTCAAATTAATTATACCAATGAACGCGTTTGGCTTAATATTGTAGTATATTTAACGTTCATCACGACCACCAGAATCAAAGTCATTTTTGTTCAACTGTGTAATTAGCCATTATTTAATTTTTTGCGCGCCAAAGATTCAGATATCAATACCGAATCAATGCCTTGACAACTCACTGAGACCCACTTGTGGGGCTGCAAAAGGCGACGCTTGCGTTGCGTGCGCTGTTCTTTTCCTGGAAGCGGAAGTGGATGGTGCTGTGTCGGCAGGGGAGGTGTTGTGAGGAACTTGGGCGCAAAACCAACGGCCCCGACAGCTAAAGCTAGCGAGATTTTTTTTTGAGAATGCCAAGCTAGCGAGATTAAGCAGAGGAATGCAACTTGGACACCAGAGGATGCTGCGATGCAAATGAGAGGGAGATTGGCTTGCATAGTTCTGGCAGTAGTGCAACAGCGTAGCCATGTATGCACGGATGATTATGATTATTCCGGGCTGCATTATTGCAGTGCAGGTTGATATCCTGAGATGCGAGCCGGAGCAAAAAGAGAAAAAAAAAATCCAACCTTTCCAGGATTCCAGGACGGAGTGATCTGATGCATGGATCGACGAAGCCAACAGCTTCCAGGAACGCTGCATAGCCGGGCTGGCTGCAGCTTTGGCAACTGGCCTCTTGCATTGTTTGAGCAACACCCATCTCTGATGATTGATGATGTGAAGCTCAGCGGTAAATTTCAACGAGTGTTGGCTACAGCCTCTCATGTGATCTCACGACTAGCCTCGAAGACTATTGACACGGTAAAAATTGGATTCGCTTTCCTCTAGCAGTAGGTAGCATCGTTGGTCACTAACACTTGGCAGCTGGCACAATGCCAAAACTCCAGCACAACTACTAGTAGTAATGCTCAAAACTACTGCCACCGCCTTATCCCCGGGTTTAAAATTTACTCCCACTTGAACTTGAATGCGAATGCGCTGTCGTTTTCCTGTAAGCGGAAGTGGCGCTGTCATGGCGATCAGCACATTTTTGGGCTCCAAAATAACGGGCCCGGGACAGCTACCAAGATCAAGCAGAGCCACTGTTCGATTTTTAAGTGGATTAGCAGAGCAACTTGGGCGCTAAACTCCAAACATTCAAGGTGGGCTTACCACTACGCCAGATTGCATTCGTAGGATCGGCTCCAGATGGTACGTGGCATCGGTTTTGGCAGCCACTTCTATCAAACCATGACTATAAATCACCGATTTATAGGGGCGGTTGACTAGGACGGCTGTATATTGAGCCGTCCTACAAATCAATTTTCAGAAATCGCGAAAAAAGAGGGAAAAATAGATTTTTTTTTTAATCCGAAGAGATCCCCACCGGTAAACACACACCCAGTTGCAGCATTTTTTCATGTTTTTTGCACACTTTGCGTCAGCCGAGATTCAAACCCGCAACTTCTCCCTCGCGCGCAACATCCTCTACCACTGCACCTCACGATCACTTATGTCTACGATCCATTTTGGTTCCCCATATATTATACAAAACTGAGCATAAATTGATTGTTTGATGCTCTAAACTAATTCAAATGAAAAAGTTATCAACTACAAAGTTTTATAATTTTTCGAGATCTACAACTTTTATTTTGGTAGTTTCTCCATCCGAGGTTACTTATAAAATTTGAATTTCAAATTTGAGAAATTCGAACGTAGTTTTCCATGACAAGATGATTTCAAATGGGAAAGATATCGACTACCAAGTTTCATAACTTTTCAAGATCTACAACTTTTATTTTTACTGTTTGTCCATGCGAGGTCGTATAAAAAATTAAAATTTCAAATTTTTGGAAATTCAAACGTAGTTTTTCTTGACAAGATGATTTCAAATAAAAAAGTTGTCAAATACAAAGTTTCATAACTTTTCGAGATCTACAACTTTTATTTTGGTTGTTTCTCCATCCGAGGTCGTTTATAAAATTTAAATTTTAGTGTTTAATTTTTAATACTCGGCGTCTATTTGTAGGGGCAATTCAATATTGAGCCGGCCCTATAAATCCGATTTGTAGGGGCGGCTGGATATAGAGCCGCCCCTATAAATCGGACCATTTGTAGGGGCGGCTGATAACACTGGCCGCCCCTATAAATCAATTTGTAAGGGTGGCTCATTTGTCAACTATTTATAAGGGCGGCTCAACAAAGAAAGGGAGGCGTCGCCACGAATCGTTTCTGTGGCGTGCTTTCCGACCTTGGACAGGAAAATGGAAAAACAATCCAGACGTTACATGGATCCAGGACGCCCGTTCAAGGAAATTCAGCTGCTGTCGCAAAGCAATTAACTGCTCGCTCTGTTTGGCAAACGCCTGGCCAGTCAGGCACACACACACTACAGATAGCCTCTAATCTAAAGAGTAAAGACACTGCTAAGGGGTGGCCGTTTGAATTATGATGTACGCAGTAAAAAGTTTGACTCGTGCTAGTCGTCCTGAGAGCCAAGGCCAGCCTTCCGTTATCAAAGCAAGATTGACAGCACGGACGACATATGGTGCTCGGTTTTACACAACCTGTAGCTATTTTCTTCGCTTTTTGACTTGGGCAAAAGTTAGAGGAACGAAAATGAGGCTGGCAAAACACTAAGTCCAAGAAAATGAGGCCTGGAGGATGAATACGTAGTGGGGTAGTAGCTGAAAGAAAGTCAAAACTTCATATCGTACTAACACGTAAGGGACTGATTCAAACGCAAGAGTTTCGGACACCGCACATCAGTTTTGCTCAAGAATTCGCCGATGTAAAGGTGTGTTTGAGTGCTTCAGTAACCCAACCTTCTCCGCAGCAATAGAAAGTGTTTCGGAAACCAGGCCGCTATTCGGCCCAGAACCGTTACCGCCCACAACCCACACACAGGACAGTCGTAGTGTCCCAGCCCAAATACACCGCCACGGGCCATCTATTCACCCTCACCGACTTGGAGCGGGCCCCGGAACAAGAGAAATCAGACCAGAGAAAGGAGCCAACACGCTCTCGCGCGTGGCAAGATTTTACGGGCCCGAAACCGAAAGCACACGCAGCAATCCCTGCGTGTCTTCTTCGTCTTCGGCGGCGCGGCGGCGGCAGCAGCGGAGGTGGTTGAGGAGATGCTGTCCGGCGACATCCCCCCGAACCAGACCATCTACCTCAACAACCTCAACGAGAAGGTCAAGAAAGAAGGTACCGCTCTCGTCCGCCTCCACACGCCGAATTCCTCCTAAAACCCTAGGTTCCCGATCTGGGTATTAGCTCGGCGTCGCGTCGCTCTAGGGTTTGGTTAGCTCCCTTGTGTGTAGTGTGCGATTTTGAATGTTTTGGGATTTTGGCTGCAGCAGAGTTCGAAATTGATAGGTTTTGAGCTCCTTTTGCTGCTTTAACTATGTCTCCCTGGGCCATGTCAGCTTTCGACATTAAGGAAAACTCTTGCTATCCGTATGCCAGAAACCCAGTTGCACATTTAAGTGCGTTTTGATCCACGGACTCGGGAGAAATTCGTTAAATTCTTGTCTTCTTCCACAGAACAAGAACATTGCGCATTTGCCGTGATGGCCTAGCGACAACCCAGCTCAAAAGGTCAGGGGTGTAGTGTTGATTGTACTGGGAGTCATATGTGTGGCCGAGTAATATCACTGCCCAGTGACCAAAACCTCCTAAACGTGTTAATGAATACAATATCTCTATTTTGTTTGATCAACATGAACCATTGTTTTGTTCATTGCTGAAATGCATGTTGTCTTCTGCGCAGAGTTGAAGAGATCGCTGTATGCCCTGTGCTCACAGTATGGAAGGATACTGGATGTGGTGGCCCTGAAAACTCAAAAATTGAGGGGCAAGCATGGGTGGTGTTTAGCGAAATTACAGCTGCTACCAATGCTTTCCGTGGATTGCAAGACTTTGATTTATACGGCAAAAAAATGGTATTCCACCTTTATTTTATTTGATAATTTTCCTGAGTCTTTTATCTTTTGTTTTTCCTTTTCATGCCATGAGGTGCATCATAGATTTGTTTTTCCTGGTCATTTTGTTTGTATGTTGAGTGTAGCATTATCCTACTTTGAGTATTGAGCCAAACATTAGAGCAACTCCAATTGACTCTGTATATCCTTACTAAATGCTATTAATAGAGATTTTGGTGAAAAACTACCCTTCCAATGGCTTCTCTAAATGGTTATCCAAATATAACTATCTTCTATTCCGGATTTTTTGCTAGCAAAAAATAGAAGACGAGAATGGCTCTCTAGAGTGCACATGAGATATAGAAAAATTGTTGTAGAGTCAAAAGATATAGAAAGCGATTTTTATGCAAATGACTCTCCAAATGATGATTTAGAGAGTGAAATTTAGAAAGTCTCTTGAAGATGCTCTTAGTGCAGGGTAGGCCTGCAAAAGTTTAAGTTTTGCAATTTGCTCTGCGATTTATTGCTCAGTTGAGCATCCATGTGTTTCGAGACATCTAGTTGCACATAATAACTGGTCAGTGTTGAAGCGGAAAAGGCTTACCTTTCTCAATACTTTTATTGAATGTTGAGTTCCATAGAGTGATAGGATAGGCACACGTTCTTTATATTTTTGGATCAGCGCACATCTTTGTTTTTGTTTTATATAGGAAGTATGCACTCGTTTCCTCTTATATCTAAACGCTAAACAACTGAAGGACATATCCTTGTCTAGTGCTCTTGGTGAAGCGTCTTGTTTCTTTACCTTTAAGGTCAAACAAATATTTATCCTACCGTCTAGTCACATTATATTTTAAGAAATCAGGATTGGAGGCTTAATAATATGTGCTGTCATGTATGAGTGTTCAGAACTAACTTCTTAATTTTTCTTCCCTTGTACAGCGAGTACAATATGCAAAAACAAAATCAGATTGTATTGCAAAAGAAGATGGTACTTATGCTCCTAAGGAGAAAAGGAAGAAGCAAGAGGAGAAAGGTAATTCTAACTACACATCTACATCGTTGAGCTATTATATTCCTGATCATGGTTTATGTGACAAGGCCTGGTGTTTCAGATGTTATAACTGATCAACAATACTGGTTTATATGTTAGGTTACTAAATGTGTGTAATTCTATATCTGAACTAAATATAAAATTAACCTTTCCTCGTTGTTTGTGATAGTGAACTATGACTTATGTCCTTGAACTTACATGTTGTTCCACTTATCGTATTCTGTCTAAACTTGAGCGCCCTCCATTTTGGGGGCACGTGTAGTTTGTTTGCTGGCATTGCTCACCTTGCATGGCTGGGCAAGGCTAGCCTTGTTAGGGCTGGAGAGCCAATTTGGCTTGCTTGAGTTGGCATGGAAAATGCTGTACATCGAAATGCTTTGTTCAATGCCAAATTGCCAATTCCTTGCTTAGGCTACACAGTAGCCAGTAAAAGATCCAAACGCACCCTTGGTCTCTAACTTGCAAAAGCAGTTAACTTAGGTCCTATCTTATCAGTGCGATTATGTAACTTAAAGGAGTTTATGCTAAATAGCCTTCAGTATCATATGCAATTTTAGGGACCTGAATTCTTAATTCAAGGATGACCTCTGCTGTTTCGTATGCGGGAGTCTGTTATTTCATGGGCATGTGTTTGGACAGCTAGCTAGTAGTTGGTCAATGGGAAGCAGTCCAGTGATACATCCTATTTCTGTCATAGTTCTTCATATATGGAACTTGTTTATTTCTTTGCCATGGCTCTATTTGAGTTATGGGTTCAGGAATTAATTTTGTTATCCTCTATTTTTACATTTGGAGTGTTGAAAAATGTGCACTTACTAGTTTTTCAACTTACCTCTTGTTTCTGTTTTAGCTGCTGAGAAAAAGCGATTTAGTAGAAGAGGCACAACAAGCTGGCCCCAATGCTTCTGCTGCCCAAAGCAATGGAACTGTAAGTTTACTTCTGCTTTAGAAGCCCTATTTCCTTTTAACTGCTGCTTTCATGCTTTGTTATTTAATAAGGCTGTCACAGTACTAGTACAACTGTTGTTTCATTGCATTACTGAATTTTGCCTATTCTACTAGGCCACTAGCCTGTCCTTTGTTAGACCTCATGTATTTTAGTGCTGCATTTAGCTATAATGGGCCTGTTCGCTGGTTGGTGCTGGTGCTGGTTTGGGCTGGCTGGTGTTGGTTTTTTGTGAGAGAAAAATACTGTTGGCTGGCTGGTTTGGGCTGGGTGAAACCAGCAAGCGAACAGGCTGAATAAAGTTTATATTGTGTTCGAGTCATCTTATTTGTGCCCATGTACACACGAAGGTCTATGGCTTATTGTTATGTGATTAGTTTGGTTCTATGTTCATAATATAAAAAGTCTGCATATGCATTTCACTGCTCAGTATTTTTTTTAAATGTCTGAATAACCTAGTGACATGGGTTAGGACTACCATTATTTTGACAGTGATAGTAAATGTCTTTCCAACATATCTGAATGGGTTTGCACTAGATTGCTTTGCTTTTAGGGACCAATTGTAAGTATAAAGGCTTACTATGTCAGGATCTGACTATGTTCAAGCATTTCTTGTGGCCTATTTGGATGTTGTAGTTTTAGAAAACTTTGGTATCAAGAAACTGTAGTTTTATAAGCAATTTACCTCTGCCTATATTGTACTTGACAGTTAAGTATTGCTAATTACTGTTGTGGTTGTCATTTTATTTGCAGTAGTTTTTTTTTTTGTTCTTTCGGCCATTCTATTTATCTTTAATAAGAAAAAAGAAAATCAAAGTGGAACACTATATCCTTTTTTAATAAGGTTAGCAGATAGTACTTTTACTGTTTTACTTCCAGAATTCTTTTTGCCCTAACTCCTGTCACCTGGAAGGTGAGGACAGGCCTGCCACTGATTTGGTACAATTAGGTTGTATTTTAAAGATTTAGATTAGATTTGGATAAACAATACCTGTTAGGTTCAGAACTGTACATAAAGTTGCCAAAAATCAGCATATAGGTGATGTTAGATGGGGTTCCTAGGAAAAAAATTAGAGTACAAAGCACCAGACCCATCCACTTCTCACTGAGTTCAACCACCAACATTTAGTTGTAGCAGTTGTTACGCGAATCGCAGTGGTATCATTGAAAGATTCAAGGCAGCGTTGGGAGTTTATGAATTTTGTCTACAACTGTAAAGTTTTGTTTGAGTTTTATTGGTCTATGTGGTCATGGCGGAAAAGAGACTACTGTCTGCTCGCTAAGGTGTTTGTTAAGTATTCTGAGAGTGAGACTAATCCAAGACAACCTCTTGTGTTCCCATATTTAATTCTGGTTTAGGTACATTAGCTCACCCAAGTGTTGATAAAATCTGCTGTCATGATTTCTCCCATCTAGCCATCAAGACTCAACTATCAAGCTCACATTAATGACTCTTCATCTTACATGATGTGGATGTAATGGGAGATTAGTTAGGAAGATTTCATATTCTTCTGTTGGTCCAATAGCCTTCCTGAATGGATCGGCATCCTTATGTATAATAATGTATTTGAATTGAAACAGGCCTAATGTAATTTCATATCTAAGACTTCAACTAATGAAATGTCTATCACTGAAGTTCTAAAATTGACCTCAGTGTTAGTTTCTTTATGCGCCTACTAATGTTTGAGCTTTCTTTGACAACTTGTATATAGGGCTATCAAGCATCTCGTCTGGGCAAGGTTTCACAAGAGCCACCTGCTCCTCCGAACAACATCCTCTTCATCCAGAACTTGCCAGACCAGACCACGAGCATGATGCTCCAGATCCTGTTCCAGCAGTACCCTGGCTTCAGGGAAGTCCGGATGATCGAAGCCAAACCAGGCATTGCTTTTGTGGAGTTCGAGGACGACGGCCAGTCCATGGTCGCGATGCAGGCTCTCCAAGGCTTCAAGATCACCCCAGAGAACCCCATGGCTATATCCTATGCCAAAAAATGAGAGGACCCTCGGGAATCCCTGTACTCGTAAGATTTTTGGCTCAGCCTTTCCGAAATCAAGCCACAGTATCTGCTTTCCGGCCATGTATTTTTGGAAAGCACTGGCTTAATTTAGAAGTTTAACTCTTGCCACTTTTAAATCAGGTTTGGTCCTCAGTCTTTATGTTAACTCTGCTTTTGCTCTTGTCAAGTCTGGTATTGTGCCTATATAGGCTGTCTTGATTATCTGTTTGTTGCCTACAGTGGTAGAAGCTGGACGGGTCATGGCCGTATCTCTCGCTTGAAGGCGAAGAGAAAATCATGCCCCCATATCTCCCCCCTGGTCAAGGTGAATGAGTTGTATGTGATGTGCCCATAGTATATGGCCAGAATCAGAGGTGTCGACCAAGTAGTCGCAGGCATGATTGGTGAACACGGTTTTTTTTTTTTGAAACATGGCGAACACGTATTTCAGCAGTGTGGATGGTAGGTTTCGTGGCGGCCTTTTTCTAATGGAATGGGAGGCGTGCCACCTTCTATTCCTACTATTTGGCCATTATGGGATTGCTGTTGGCTTCGTGGCCCTCAATTAGCCTGTTAGGTTTGTGTATGAGTAGCTTTGAAGTCGATGAATGTGCGTGTGTGCGCCATGCATCTACATGTTTGTTCGTTGCGCGAGCGGTCGGCAATGCTGTAGGCTGAGGCGTAGACGTGTGTGCTCGTAGCCTCGTAGTCGTAGGTTTTGGCTTTGCCCGGTCCCTTTTCTGGGTGTGCGCCTCTGTTGTTGGTGCTCACCCGTCACCCGTGCAAGCTATGCTACTGTGCTGGTCTTATCTGGTTGGAATAGGTGGACGGTTGGGTTGGCTTGGGGTTTGTCGCTGGTCCTGGCGCCGTTTTGTTGTGGCCAATCAAGCATCAAAATCTTGTAGCCTTGTGAATAGTGATCTTGTCGTGTAATGCGCGGGAGGGATCATGTGACGCATCTTTTGCATGCCCTGGAGGATTTACCTCTCGACCACAGACAGGCTGGGTAATGTGGATTAATTCGCTGTTGATACTGACGGTAGCGCGGTAGTAAAAAGAGTTTTCGCAAGTCATACGATGTACGCATGAGTTTCAAGTAAATATATATGCCGCCCAGTACTACGTCATGGCGATGATGTGCATGGAAAGATCGGGGTCGGTAGCTATAACTGCTCTCGGGTGGATGATGGGGGATGTTCCTTATACAATATATATATATTTTTTTTAAGATAAAGGATAGTTTATATCCGGCTTCATCTACCATGAGGTATAATCAAGTCAATTATTATAAGGTTCGACCCAACGGTGAGCACACAATTTACACAGTTCACAAGCTTATAGCCAGACTTTGGAAACACAAAGCGTGAAGTAAAGTCTTGACTAAGAAGGACCGATAAATCTATTTGAAAACCACCCATTGGAACTAAAGAAATGCAAGGCTGATGTCTCCGAAAGCCGCCCAACAGATGTCAGCCGGTCCCGTAGATCATCACGCCACTACAGTCTTACCCATTGCCGCAGCTAATGGGTTCCTCTGAAGAGTACTTGCAAAAAAAAATTCGGTCTACATTTGTGAAAAACCACTTCATTTCTTGTTATCCAAATTGTCCAACATAAAGTCGATGCTGCTGTTAGTAACAATGAATTATGAATAGTACCACCAACTTTAGACCAATTAACAAATAAATCATCTATGCTGAGGGGAGGTGATACCCCAAACACTAAGTGTATAGCGCGTCACAGGAATTTGGCATAAAAACATTCGATAAAAAGGTGATGAATAGATTCTGGAGAGTGACAAAAGCTACACCTTGCGTCACCATTCCAGTTACGTTGGGCGAGGTTATCTTTGGTAAGGACCACACCTCTTTTTAGGTACCACAAAAAAAATTTATTCTTGTAGGTATTTTAATCTGCCATAAATCTGGTGACACTTTGACCCCATTGTTGATTAACGCAACATACATAGATTTTACAGAATATCTGCCTGATGAATGTAGTCCCCAAACAAAAGCATCACTTTCCCCCTGTAAATTCACATCTTGTAACGAGGCAACAATTCTATGCCAGTCTCTTAGGTTCGTACCCACCAGGTTGCGGCGGAAGGAAATGTTTAGTGGAACTGAAGCAATTACTGTTGCCACCGAATCTTGTTTTCTTCTCACAATATTGAACAACGAAGGGAATATATCCTTCAATGACTGATTTCCCAACCAAGTGTCCATCCAAAAACGAGTATGTGATCCGTCTTTCACTTTGAATGAACCAAAGCTCATGAAGGAATCTTTAACATTCATCAGACCTTTCCAGAAATGAGAATCTGTTGGCTTTTTAGTGTATCCCCCTAGAGTCTTGTCTTTTATATATTTATTCCTCAACAATTCTTGCCACACGCCATCTTCATTCAAAAGTTTAAAAAGCCACTTACTCAGCAAGCATTTGTTTTGTAGGTCTAGGTTGTGTATACCTAAGCCTCCTTGGCCTTTTGGTTGGCACAAGATCTCCCATTTGGCCAATCTATGTTTGCGTTTGTGTTGATCATTTTGCCAGTAGAATCTTGATCTAAAGCAGTCAATCTTTTCTAATACACCTTTAGGTAATTCAAAGAATGACATCATAAACATCGGTAAGCTAGAGAGCACCGAGTTTATTAAGACCAAGCGACCTCCTACCGAGAGCAATTTACCTTTCCATCCACTAAGTTTCTTCTCAATTCTATTTTCAATTGTTTGCCTATCTTTATTACTCAACTTCCTAGTGTGCATCGGTAAACCAAGGTAGCGGAAAGGGAATTTACCCACCCCACATCCAAACAGTTGCAAATAAAACACCTCATTATCCCTTGCTTTACCAAAACAGAAGATCTCACTTTTGTGAAAGTTGATTTTAAGCCTGAAAGTTGCTCAAAAGTACTTAAAATTAACTTCATGTTTCTTGCTTTTTCAAAATCATGGCTCATAAATAACACTGTGTCATCCGCATATTGGAGAATGGACAAGCCATCTTAGACAAGGTGGGGGATGACCCCTTCTACTTGACCTGGTTCCTTGGCTCTAGCAATCAGTATGGCCAGCATGTCTACCACTATATTAAATAGTATTGGAGACATTGGGTCACCTTGCCTTAAGCCTTTTTTCGTTTGGAAGTAGGAGCCAAGTTGATCATCCACCTTAATATTTACATTACCTCCTTGTGTGAACTGCTTCACCCAAGAGCACCATTTTTGTGAGAACCTTTCATCCTTAAAGTTTGTTGTAGAAAACTCCATTTTACTTTATCATATGCCTTCTCAAAATCTATCTTAAAGATTATCCCATCTTGTTTTTTTTCAAGTGAAGTTCATGTATTGTCTCATGGAGTATTACTGCGCCTTCCATAATGTTTCTGCCTGGGAGGAACGCTGTTTGTGTTGGTCTAATAATCTTCTGGGTAACAGTAGATAATCTATTAGTTGCAACTTTGGTATAGATTTTGAAAGAGACATTCAACAAACATATTGGTCTATATTGTTGAATCATTTTCGCATCTTTCTTTTTTGGTAGCAAGATTATCGTTCCAAAGTTGAGTCTATTCAAAGGCAAGGTTCCCTCATGTAATTCCATGAACATAGCCATCAGGTCATTTTTTATTAAGTCCCAGAAGACCTGATAAAACTCTGGTGGAAAACCATCCGGGCCTGGTGCCTTATTATGTTCCATTTGAAAAATTGCTGCCCTTACTTCTGATTCCAAGAAGGCATCTGTCAAGTACTCATTTTCCAGTTGGGAGACTTGTGGAATGTCATGAACATAGTGTTCATTTAACTCAATAAAAGAATTCTCTAGAGGACCAAAAAGGCTCTTATAATAGCTGGTAATATGCTGCATTAACCGAGCATCACCATCTATTACAGTGTTACCGTCCTCCAACTGGAAAATATGAGTTTTTCTATGTCTTCCGTTAGCCAATAAATGGTAATATTTTGTATTAGTATCACCCTCCAGTAGATGCTTAACCTTTGCCCTTTGGTACCATTTAAGTTCCTCTTCATGAAGTAATTCAGCAAGTCTTTTGCTTAACACATGTTTTAAATTTAATTCCGACTCATCGAGCAAAGAGTTTTCTACCTTTTTATCTAGCTCATCGAGTTTGTTTAACAAAGTTTCCTTTTTCTTTCTTGTAGGCGCCACTCACATTTTTTGCCCATCCTCTAAGGTACTGGCGAAGCCTTCTGATCTTCGCTTGCCACCTCTCTAGGGGGCTGCCCTCAACAAGTACACTATGCCAAACATCTCTCACCATGTCGTAAAATCCATCCCTGAGCAACCATCCCAGTTCAAACTTGAACTGTGGCTGGTAAGCCGGAGATGGGCTATTTGTGCTACATAACAGTGGAGTGTGGTCAGAAATCTCTCTGCTCAAAGCTTGGACACTTGTAACCGGATACTTGGACTCAAAATCCGTACAAACAAGAATCCTATCTAATTTCTCGAAGGTCTAATTTTGTAAGTGATTAGCCCAAGTAAACTTTCTTCCTACCATTTCTAATTCTCTGAGGTTTAACGTATCTATTACAGTATTGAAAAGAAAAGGCCATCTATCATTATAATTGTCATTATTTTTCTCATCCGATCTACGAATAATGTTAAAATCACCACCTATAATAACAGGTAATGTTTCTTTTGAACATACTCGGACTAATTCGGATAAGAATTGTGATTTGAGATCCACTTGAGCTGGGCCATACACTGAGATTAAATGGAACTTGAAATCATCCTCTTTGTGTCTCAACATAAACCAAATAAAAAAGTCTCCTTCTATTTGTCCAATGTCAAAGGTTAAAAGGTTTACCCTAGAATCATGCCACCGGACCGACCCCTTGGAGCCATGCCGTGCCAAAGAAAATCTCTGTCAGCGCAGATATTATTCAAGGTAGACTACGGAAAATTGGCTCTCCCGATTTCCGATACAGCTATAAAGTCTAGGTTCTTTTCTTTTGTTAAATCAGAAAGGAATCTA